CCCTGAAAGCGGGGCACGTCCGTTTAGACCTTTGCAAGGGTGCCCTTTTTTTTCTCAAAAAGCCGTAATGGCCCACAAAAGAAAAGAGCCTAGCAGCGGGAGACCCCTTTTGAAGGTTTGTTGATATCCTTTTCAGAGGGCAATCATTTGATCCCAATTTGGTCATATTCGCTGAGATCAAAAGTCCTGGGAGACCGGTTGAACAGAGTAAGACTGAGCTGAATGTTTGTGTTTGCCTGCTATGCCTGCTCGGGTTTCTATCAACCATTGTTCACCTACTCATTAGCGAACACCGGGATTGCAGAGTTTTTCTATCTCAGTTGTTCAAAGCCGACCTTTTATCCTTTTGGTTTTCCAATGCTGTTCCATATTTAGTCATGACCCCAAAAGGTTAACCTTTTAGTTCCAGGTGCTTTGGGCAACTGAGCTATGGTCAGCTCAGTGAAGAGCGCGACCCGATCTCAGCTTTCGACCTCAAGGGCGTATCAAACGAAGGCAAAGTTCCCGCCAGCTTTTGCACCGGTTTTTTCCAACATTAGGGGCCATTAACAGTGTTTGAGGTACGTTGTTCTCTAAGAATAGCTCATTTTAGTGCTACTCGTTAAGTGGGAGAAGCATCTGGCCGAAATGCTGGTTAGAGCCCAAGGCCAGACGCTTACACATAGCGTGGACACCTACAGCCTGAGCGCTGTATAAGAAATCGGTTGGCCGAGACTCAGGGGGACTCAATTTCCTAACGTCCATTGTCTATGTAACAGGGCTTGCATTTGCCACTCCACAGTCCGGAGGCTCAATTTCTCGGCAGTTTCTTGACCTTGTCTTGATTTGCCATATAATTGTGCGTTGCACAAATCCGAGGAATTGACCATGTTGCATGGTTCTTTGGCCGCGTTGTGAAAATGTGCTCCGACGGCTTGTCCGAGAGAATTGCCTTGCAGAACATTGTTGCGGGGAGCTTCCAAGATTTGCATAAAGAGGGTAGAGTGAGCTTACCAAACATAACGGTTTCGCAGGAATTCCCCCCCAAACCAGCACTGGTCGTGGGAATGAGGGGATATAATCTGCCTGGAAAAGCCCTACCACTTGTGTTTCAGCCCTGACATGGATGCACTGTGACAATCCCCATCGGTTTTCTCGTTGTCTACTGGAATCATGGTACCTGCACCTTTGATTTCCAGAGCCTGGTCTCCATAAGACAGTCCCAGATCTCATTTTCGCTGAGGGCCAAGAGCCAATCGCCCAGCACGCCTTCGAGCGAAGCTCGGAGCCGCGTGAAGAAGTTGGGAGCTTCAGGCAGCGCTCCACAATCTTCGTGAAGGGAACGCAGTCGTGAAGCAGGCTACCTTCCTGAAAATGGTCAGCCCAACTTGGCATCCAAGGAGAATCTCTTCAAATTGGACTCAAATTAGGAGAGTAAGCTTAATCCGGAATCTCCATGACCCGAAAAAGAATATAAAAATGGGGGAATGTGTCCAATCATTCTCTCTTCCATAGACGCCGCCCCCTTAAATGCTCCCTCGGAAAGGGGACACACTACATGCTCATTGGGTTGAGGGAGGTGGGGTGTCCACTTCGCTCCTTGTCTCCTGCAAAGCAGGGAGCAAAGAAACACGACAAGCATATTAATGGTAATGACAAGACTCTTGTTCAACCAATTTTAGACAAGCTGGTTCAGGGTGTTCTTGTGTATGCATGATCTTCACAATTAGGAGGGGCAATGCTCCATTGCAGTTTGCATTTAGAATGCATTCAGCACATCAGTGTCTCGCAACAAGGAATGCGAAGGGCGAGCCAGGCAGCAAAGAAACGTACTATGTATAGACACAACACTGGAACACAAGGTTATCTTTTCGAGTCACATTAGACAAATCACGCTTGCGCAAATGCATGGTTCAAAAGCTGAGCCCGTCCGGAAAATGTATAGTTAACCCCAAGCTCACAGGTATCAGATCGGGCGGGGAGCCGGATTTTTCCAGTCAGATCTTGCCAGATGATTCTCTTGGTTTCAATACGAAGGGCATTCCCCTTCTATACCTGGAAAACCTTTGTTTTGGGGCGAAATTCAGCTGAGTGTCCATTCCCTTGGTGTGATTTGGGTATGGGTATGGGTCAAGATGAAATCACCAGGGGCCATGTACCAGGATTCCATTGTGGATCATAGATGATTGAGTCCGCCAGGGAAGCTGCAGATTTGGGTCCTCTGCCGCAGGAGATCGGTTTGCTTCGGGGGAAGTTCTCTGATTCTTTTGTCCATGGGGTGATTCCTTGTTCTGTACCATCCTTGCCCAAAGCCCCAAATGTCGGTTCACTTCTAGTACAGGTCCCAAAAAGTTACATGTCTATTTCTGGGTCCTTTGGGCAGCTGAATTTTGACAGGCCGGTATGTTGGAAGGAGCCATCAACAGACCACAGGGCATTGCAGGGTTCCGGTTGTATGGGCCATAAACAATGTGATTAGCGGTCTATTGTTCGATTGGTGAAGCCAAGAAGGGGGCCACTGCCACTCGAATTCTAATCAGTGAAACACACACTTTGTCCTTTGCCCTTTTGGGTTTTGTCCATCAATTCTCTGTCAACCTGCGTGCCCGTTTGTATGACATGTTTGTACCTCTGGGTGGTTTTGATTGGATCCCCTCCCCTGTCCGCCATCGATCCCCATTTTCCCGAATACGAGTCTAATGAGACCTTGATACGAACCTTTCTTAGTGTCTTCCTTGGCCAAAACCAGTTCGGATGCTGCAAGCCTTGAAGAATTGTGTCCTGAATCACTTAACTGTAATGACAAGATCACCCTGCTATTTGTGTCCGAGTCCCAGCTTCCACGCGAACACTAAACTAGCGATCTCTCCCACCAACCTCTCCTCCAAGCGTATTAGGGGCTCTCTGCCCGTCTACACAGAAGTGAAACACACGGGTGTTGGCAGCCCAAATCTGGAACAGCCGACCCCTAGTAGTTGGTTTTGAATTCGGCGGGGGGGCGGGGTTATTCTCGGCAAGGGATGACCTTGGCTGTGTCCAACATTCGGCAATGGCAACAACTCATGACAGCTTGAACAGCGGTCCGCGCGTCCGGAGGTAGCTGTGAACGGGATGTCCAACCAGTCGTCTCGTTCTACAACCGCAGCGAGCACGCCCTCCTGGGAGTTTCAATGTTCCAATGTTGACTGTCGGCCCCTAATTAGTGGCAGGAAGCCCTGGCTTTTATTTTAAGTGGCTGTTTGTCAGGAGCAGCCCGTGAAAAAGAAGGACAAGAAGGACAAGAAGGCCCATGAGTCGCAGTTGGTTTCAAGAGATGCGAACTTGTACGTGTTAAATAGAGCAGCGCCAAAATCAGCAGCGGGTTGGGACCCCAAGAGGGTCAGCATTGTGTCAACCCCCGCCTCTTCCCCCGCTCGAGACAGGTTCGCATGGAGAACCAATGAAGAGTATTGAGGCTATGACCGATTCCTCTTGCGTGCAACTAACCCCAAATCCGTGACCCTTGCAACTTTCATGTGGAAAGGGTTTGGAAGGTTACTCAGGAGCTCAAACAAGCATAAGTCCTTGCAATGGCTTGGACAAAGCAATCAAGCAAACAGCGGGTGTGTGTTCTGTCCATTGTCCATTGATCTAGAAAGGATCCTTGCTTGAGCTGCTTGGTGGGTTCTTTGGTAGATTGCTTCTAGCTCGGCATGATACAAGCTCGGTTGCCATTGTGATCCTTGACCGTGTATCCGTTTGGAACATGACTACAATGACTACTGTACTTTCCTACCGGACGTTTTGTGCCAGGAGAAGGAGTCCGGCTGCGTGCTGGCGTGAGACCAAGTTGCATAGAGAGCTACGAAGGGGGTCAAAGCCAGTTGCTCAGTGGCGCCCTTTTTCCTATTTCTTTTTTTGGAAAGGTTCTCCTTCAAACTCGACCAAAAATGAATGCCCTTGTTTTCCCACCACTGGGCATCTGAGTCACAGCCTGGAAAAGTTTCTCATGGGTCACAAGGACCCGTGGGATCAGAGCCTCAAGGCTGGATGAAACTGCCACTGCGCCTCTTCAAACAGCGTGCACGAATGAACCCTTGCGGAAAGGATGCAACCGTTTTGCTCCCATCCAACATCGACAAGGGGAGAAAACAGAGGCTGGGGTTCCATTGGTTTCGGTGTAAGAGATGTTAGAGTTAGAGGCTTTCTGTCCGTAGCCCAGTCGAAAGGTGGCTGTTTGGCCAAGCTGCCTTGACAGGTGGCAACCTGCACGGAATCAAACGCTTTTCCGTCCGCCAATGACTAGCCCGTCGCATCGAGGAAACAACGTGCAGGCATGTCCATCGTCGCAGTCCTGATCGCTTCATGTCGCACCCGATTTGCAAAGGGCACTGGAATGATGTAAAGTTTGTTTTCTTCATTGTTGAAGTACTTGAAGCACTCCACTTGCATATGAAGTTTGACAGGTTCCTGAGTGGTTGCTCATGAAGCAACGATTCGTCTTACACTCAGAAGCCCTCTTGCGCAAGCTGGGTGTGCAACCAGGTTGACTGAGTGGTTTGCTGCCCCTATTGCGACATGTGTATATGGTGGTGTTCAGCTTAGTGCGGCCAAGATTGAATCATTTGATTGAATATTTGCCAGCCCATTGCCATCTGATTCTCATAAATTAGAGCCCTGTCCCACAGCCTCTCAATCAGATGAAACGTAAAGGTGCAGCCTAATCAACTCCTTTGCTTGCAAAGGCAGCATTTTGACATTAATTGTGCAGTGAGACTTGATCAGGTTGTCAAGGTGCCGAAGGTTTGCATCGATTTGCTTAAGATTGCCTATACTGGCAATATATGTTTTTGCAACGGGACTTAAGCAACTGAAGTGTACATCGATTGCCAGTTGGTTGCTTGGCTGGCAAAGATACACTCCGCTCTAGCCTGTTTGGCTTCACAGAATCTGTGGTGTCGTTGCACCAGTCAAACCAGTTTAATGGCATTGCCCAAAGTTGTCCACCAGTTTCATGTTTGCATTGTCATAGGCAGGTGCAGAAGCATAGTGACCTTGCAGTCTTGACTATCTCACCATGGTGGCTGAATTCGACTATTGGCTTCGCTGGGCATCACAGCTACAGGTGCTCTGCTCAGGATCTTTGCGTCAGCCGGCAGGTGCGTAAATGGAGCACAGTTTGCAGATTTGATGCACTCACACACACACACAGAGCACCGTGGATTTTGAACATTTGCAATTTCAACTTGGGTTATTTGCTCATTGAGCCTCACACTTCAGGCTGGGCAGAAGCTGTGGTATCAGCGATGCGAAGGTCGCAATGTGCTGGCAGAAGTGGCTGCTCAGCTCAGTGTCACCCTGTGATTCCATTTCCCTGCATAGCAGGTAATCAAAAAAGGAACGCCAGTTCAAATCAAAAGGACCATGGGTGCAGTCCAAAGCTGAGACACACCACACACGACACATTTTGTCGCATGCAGCTGGCAGAGGAAAGCAAGTGTCACTACAGGTTGATGTATGCCCGGAGCACAATGCCTGCTGGGTGAAGTATCAGGTGCAGCGTCCGCAAGGCGGGTGGGGATACAAAACCTTACGAATTTATTCCAATTGGAGAGGATCACCTCAACACACGCCTTTCTGTTGCGCTATTTGCGGCTTTTCAACACTGCTCAGTGACCAGAAGATATGGCTATGGGTGAAACCCCGAACCCGCAGTGAACATCCCAACCCCCACTAAAATAGACTAACATGGGTGGTGCGCCTACCCCAAAATGATCCAAAATGGTACCATTGGTGTTGAGCCACGGCCATATTTGTGCAAGTCTCCAGACCGCTCAAGACTCGGACGGGCGACGCAGGTGGCCAGCAACACCGCCGGGCCTTGGTGAAGTTGGAAGAACTGGCCCGCCTTCAGCAGCAACATGAGGACCTTAGCTCGGAGCAGCAACATGAGAGCTTTGACTCGGAGTCGTACTTTGGCTGAAGGTCTCATTTTTCTGGTTTGCTTCTTTGCTGTTGCTTGCGTGCGATTGGTGGTTTGCCGTGGTGCAGAAAAACGTTGTGGTCACTCATTGGTTTGCCAAAGCGAGGCTTTCGCAATGCGATGCAGATCCTCAAGCTCGGATCGAAGAGGGAAGGCAGGTGTGTGTGTGTGTACGTTTGGGATGTGCAAAAGGGATCTGCATCCCCAAGATGTTTGACACCTTTCTATATAGTATGTGCGTGAATTTCAGCGAAGGCAGTTTTTGCAAGCCTGTACAAACAGACATGGCAGCAAGATAATGTTGTCCCCATATTTCTCAACCGCAGTTTCAGAACAGGAATCATCATTTTTGGAGGGGAACACCCCCCTATTAATGAACTGGGGTTGATCAATACACCCCGCCTATCAATAAACCGGGGTTGATGAATACACACCCCTTATTAATCAACTGGGGTTGTTTGATATGGGGTCAACATTAGTCTTGCTAGGAACTCGTTGTTTGACACCAGTCGCTGGCAGCGCGGATGTCAGGCGCAAGGCGTTCAGCATGATCGCGGCCGAGAGCTCTGACTCCGAAGGATCTCTGAGACACGGCTCCAGGCCCGCCAGATCAGCTGAAGGCATAGTCATGGCTTGGCTCTCGGCAAGCCCGGCCATCCCTTTGGTTCAGAAAGCCTTTTAGATCTTCTTAGTTGGTTTAGTCTACGGTTTAGTGGTTGGGTTTCCGAATTTAGGCCACTAAAGTTATTCACTTGAAGCAGGGGATCTGAGGACAGCCCAGACGAATGGATGATCAGGCTCTCAATGGATCACAACTGAGCCACTTGCTCAACACCGATTCGGGTAGATTCATCACCTGGGGTTGATGAAGGCTAGCAAGTGATAATCCCATTACCTGAAATGGGTGCGGATATCCGCCTGGATTGGACAATTTTAATACCAGGTTTTGATTACGACTCAACCGTTTAGATGTTTGCCTTTGGTCCTCCCAAGGGTGCGGGGCAGCCTGCACCATCTCTTTTGTTATTCAGGAATCTTCCATGGAGGATGTTAACAGACCTCATATGTGCAAATCAGGTGTTGTGTGAAATTCGGTCGCCACGCCGCCTTTAGGCGAAGCAAGCTATATAGTATGCTCTTCGTGTCAGATGATGAGCGTTTCGGCTGCACGTGTCAGCGCTGTCTATGGTTATTGCAGTGAGCTTGTGCCACCTGCACACAGAGTCCACCAAGGATGTAAGCATCGCTCTTTCACAGGTTAGTCTTCTGACTTGAGGCGACCGCGAGCCTACAGCATGCTCACGGATTCAGGAGAAGAGCTGAGTCTTGTCAGAATATCGGTTGGTGTTGAAGTAATCAATTGCCTGGACAGACATTTGACGGAGCTTTTCTGCGCTAAAGACGGGTCTTTGCTCGTGAGAAGGGCCATCTTGTTTCTTGTTAGGGTCCCCGGGCTTTGGTATGGAGAACTCGGGGTTCCCATCACCCCGAGTTACCCTAGGGATTCGATTCGGCACCGATGTTGAGCCCACGCAACATGCTTAGGGTACTAGCTGCAACTGGCTTTTGCTTGAGGCGCCGCAGGGCGATCAGCATGATCTTCCAAGACGAGCCAGAACACATACGGCATCTTGCCATATGAGCGTGCCTTTCCTTTTTGGAGAGCCCGCTTTTTTGATGTATCCAGGGTAACCAAACAAAAGAAAAGGAAAAATAACGTTCATGTTCGGGGTCCCCTCATGTGGACACAGCCATGTATATATATATATATATATGCATATCCTTTGGAAGGCGATCGCTTGAATTGCCAAGGCGAAGGAATGTCATGAGCATGGTGGTTGAGGAGCCCAGCGACATCCCACACGAGCTGCACGCGACAGAGGACGAGCTGCTCGGATGGCCTGAGTTCTGCGACTTGACAGTTGCCAGCATTGCCAGGATTGTGCCTTTTTAGGGACCACTCCCGAGATGCTGGTTGCCTTGTGGCTTCCAAAAAAAGTCTAAAAAGGATAATTACTCACAAATGACACACCCACTGCCTCAGACTTGAGGTCCAGTTTGCCTGATCGTGAAGAGAGAGGCAGTGACGAACCGCAATCTGGTTGCAAGTTGCGAGTGTGGTTTTCTTTTGTTGTTTGCAGTATGCAGAGTATGCAGGGCGATGGCAAAACACTATGAAATACAAAGTCGAACCAGAACAGCAGCCGATCAGTTTGCTTGCAGTAAGGCGATGGTCTTTCTTCTGCATTGTGTTTTGCCTTTCTATGTCAGTTGTCTCGCTAGTTTATCGTTTTCGGTGAAACCAGAGTAGTCTGCTTACACGCACATGACTGTGACCATACAATCAATTTGAATCCGGGAATCGGTTGCTCAGCTGCTTTTATGTTAAGCTCAGAGGTCGATGGATTTGTCAATTCCAATGGAAGTGCATTATCCTTGGGAATCATCTTGCTGGTGCTCAGCAGGGAATGCGGGAATGAACCCAGGGATGCCTTTCAAGGAAACCATAGGAGATGGTGTATCAGGGTCCTTCCCCCATTCCCTTCTGAGCACCAGCAAGTCATTCCCCTCTTGCGGGCTGAACTTCAACCGCTTCTGTTTCGTCATCAGCGGCTATGGGCGAAGGCGCCAAACTTGGACATTAACCCAGCGGCATTCGTGCGTGTTCAAAAGCACATGTGCCTCGCTTTTGGAGAATCCGCCTTTGGATACCACCTTTCGCGGACAACACCCAGCGATCGGGGCTATGGCTCAAAGGGCTTTTCGTGCTCTTGCCATCAATGGATGAAGCGAGTTCACTGACTATATGTCGGAATTTCTCAAAATGGCGGACCCCGGTTTGGTTGCTATTCAAAGGGACACCAGCATGTTTTTGGGTTATGTTTTGAGAGACGTCAAGTTGGGAACAACTCGAGTGTTGGGCGCGGATCGAAGGTACAGCTTCGTAAGCGCAATCTTTGGAATGTGTGTTTCGCTTGGCGAGCTTGACGCAAAAGAGACAGTAGTGACAACAGTGCCCAGGCGGCAGCAATAATTACTTGTTTCTTCAGCAAAGACCAGGCTGATCATGTGGCGTGATATTCTATCATGAATTATTGCTACAAACAAGCACAGTCATTTAATTGCACGCGCATTTGTGTGAGACAGCAATGCCCACTGCCAAAGAGTCCCGGCAACTAGATGGGTGTGTGTGTGTGTGTTTTGTTGAGGGTAACGGGCAGCCTACTCGGGTTTGTACCTAGGGAAGGCAAAGGGAAATTCCCCATGAAACAATGCATGTGTGCCCCATTTAGAGAGAAAGCCGCAAGAATCATCTAACGAGAATCAGCATGGCAAGGACAGGTGAATCTACTTACTAACATCAGCGCCGTATCCTACTCAACAACCCTTATGGCAATCACCGATTATCCTTAAGCCGTGCCTTGGATCTAGGACATGTTGAAAAGTGTGTGTTTTTGTTAAGCATTCTCGAGCCGTACTTTGTCAGGCTCCCATGCATTTGGGCCAGTTTAGAAAGTCACCCGACTACCAGCTGATTCTGAGGACCCCCTTGTAGAGAAGGTGTTTCTTTAAGGAACCCGCGTGTGTGTGTGTGTGTGTGCGCGCGCGTGCGTGCGTGCGTGCGTGCGTGCGTGCGTGCATGCGTGCGTGCGTGCGTGCGTGCGTGCGTGCGTGCGTGCGGGTGGGTGGGTGGGTGGGTGGGTGGGTGGGTGGGTGGGTGGGTGGGTGTGTGTGTTTGTGTGTGTGTGTGTGTGTCTGTGTGTGTGCGTGTGCGTGCGTTTTTGTGCGCGTGCGCGTGCGCGTGCGCGTGCGCGTGCGCGTGCGCGTGCGCGTGCGCGTGCGTGCGTGCGTGCGTGCGTGCGTGCGTGCGTGCGTGCTTGCGTGCGTGCGTGTGTGTGTGTGTGTGTGGGTGCGTGCGTGCGTGCGTGCGTGCGTGCGTGCGTGTGTGTGCGTGCGTGCGATCCACGTTTTCATGACCGTGGGTCCAGTCCAATCCTGCGTGCATGCTGCCACTGTCCAAATTTTACTCACACCAGGTTGCAGTGTATGATTGAGAAGGGCAGCTGTATGCGATTATGCAGCTGTACCTCTTCCTTCAATGTGCTGTGTTGAACTGGCCATCCCGCGAAACGGAGATTCATTGCATTGTCAGAAAGTCAAGTTTCGTTTCTGGCAATAGTATAGTCTACTTTTTTCATGGTATCAATCATGGATGGTTGAACCTGTCTCTTTTGTTCCTTGCTCTCATTGCTTTCCTGCCAAGGCCAATTTACATACGGTTGGTTGGAGCTTCTCAATCGGAGTAGCCCATTATTTGGATTCGGCATACTCAGGCAACACTGGCGTCACGGCTCTGACGATGACAGAAGCTTCTCCGAGTACCACGACAGCATTGCCATGCATTGCCAAGGTCGTTCCGATGCCGGCCAGTTGCGAACCGGAGACGAACGTTTCAAGTGTAAGTTGTTCTTCCAGTACCCTACAGGAGGAATCTGACTTAAGGGGGCTCCCTGCTGCTGCTGGGATCAAGGCTTCTTTGATTGCGATTCACCGCATCAGGCCAGACAAGAGCGATGCTGAGCGCAGCACTACTTCGCCATCTGAGTCGGAAAGTCAGATCGTCGGATCGTGACCCCTGCCTGTCTTTTGCTGGGTGTCGGCAGGCTACACATGACCAGAGGGTTGCGTATTTCGGGGTTTGCCAGGATGCTACCTTCCAGGATCATGCGGGCAAGAGTGACAGTAATTTTGCTTCGGTCTTGAGTACTTGCTACTGGCTGGGCGCCTTGCCAGGTTTGAACCACGCAAGGTCACAGAGCCCAGAATGTTTAAGTCCAATCTTGAAGGTTGCGGAGTCAGTAAGGACAGTACTCGTGTGTTGTTCAGCATATTGACTTCTGCGAGGTACGGAGAAGATGCTGCCCTTTGGCCCTCCGCGCTTTGGGCGGAGCCCCAGCTAGTGCCTTGCTCGCACTTTGCCTTGAGGTTCGTTGACGGTTGGTCTGTGGCGGCAACTCCAACGTGGTAGTTTTCGAGTTCTGTGCCTCATGCCTGAATGCTCCAGTTAGCATGGGCTAAGTTCCGCAGGATACGCTGTTTGCCTCCGAGCATTGCTTGGAAGTAGCTCTCGGAACTTCAAAATCACGCATTGGGAAACCCAATGTGGCCCAGGTGCTCTATTTGCTGCCGCCACAACAAAGTCACAAACAGGCTCAAGCCGCAGCTGCAAAACGCAGTTGCGAAGGACCTCACCATCGGAGCCGTTTGATAGCTTGAGATCCGAAGCTTGCACAGCAGCTTTTAAGCAAGCCTTTTCCAGCGTGCAAGACAATGCACTCATTTTAGAACAAGAAACGGGCAAGATGTGCGCTTGAAACAGAGAGAAAGGTGTCGGAAAACTTCAGTGCCATGCGCTGATGGCTGCCAGGTCTCAACATTTGGTGACTTGGCGTGTGTTTTGACGCCTCTCTGAGACTCACGGATCCGTCTGAAGGGTACAGGTAGAGCGTTGAGGTTACTTGTATTGCCAAATGTGTTTTGTTCATCACTGGTTTCATCCGGATGTCAGGGCGAAGCTCAATGTTGCCGAAGAGGCAGATAAAGCGATTCACGGCCGTGAACAGTCACCTTCGATGGCAAGACCTGCAACTCGACCTTGAGGGTGCTCCCATGCATAAACATTGGCTGCTTTGGGCTCTAGATCTTTGGCAATGCCGATTTTTTTCAACCACAAGGGATGCCTCATCTTTCACTCGCTCACCGACTTATGCCATTGGAACTGTGATTGAAAGCTGCCTCAGTAGTCTTCGCAGACTCAACCAGACCAACGTCGCTTGAACTGACTTTTTTTGGTTGGACCCGTTGTACTTTTAGCAGTTGCTCTCCGATAATCTGAGGAGAAGGCTGGCTTCTGGTTGCCAGGGCGACTACATCTTGGCCTCCACCCATGTTTCCTCTTTGCGCCTGCCAAAGGTGGGCCTTATGGGAGATTCGTCGCAGCGTGACAGGATCTCCTCCCAAATCAGACTATTTTTTAAAGGTAGACAAAGCCAAGGTGTCTCAAGTTTCCCTGAATTGGTGGTTTGGATTCTCTGGATTCAAGCCAATCCAAACCACCAAACGGAGGGAAGCTGAGTATGGGTCATTCTTTTGCCGTGAGGTGCTGGTCAAAGAGCCCAACCCCATGGAGGTTCTGGAGACTGGCCTTCCTGCGCCCGGGAGAAAATGAATTGACGAGAGAACACCTAGGTCCCCCAGTAGTGCCCTTTTACCCCCCAAAAGGGAGGGTTCCCCTACTAAAATAGACTACAGAAAAAAGGGTCCAGGATACCCTTCTTCTAACCTCTCTACTGGAGGACCTAGGCAAGTCACAGTGATCCATAAACGAGTGACTTCTGAGTTTGGTTTGGACTCAGGTGATGTACTACCATCCAAAGTCAAAGAGCTTTGAGAATCGCATTGTCAAGATTGACCAGCAGCTCAGCTTTTTATACGTATTGCAGCAAGGAACTCAAAAAGAGCCTTCGGCTGTGCGACTATACGGAATTGAAGAGGCTCGTCATTCATCGGCAGCGTGCCATTTTGAAAGTTTTGTTGACAATCGGGCAGGATACTTTGCACATGGCGCATTTGGAAAGCTGCACGCATGCGAGGACACTTAAGACCATGCTGCCCTGAAGGTGCTATCTTCCACACGTGCACTTCAGGTTCTGGCAGATTTCGATGTTCAAGATGAGTTTGCCACAGAGTCAACAGCAATCGTGGTGATTCACACTAGACATTCGGCAGCAAGATCGGCACCCAAAGTCCGACTAAAACTGAGGCAACATATTGTGGATGGACGAAATCCTGCACCACTTGGAAACCATGGTTGAAACCATGGTTTGTTGGTATTTACAGGGGAATCATCATTCCAGGGTTTCTTAGGTGGTGCGAATTGGATTTCGCAACCATCCACAGTATCAACTCTGCTTACCCGCATTGGATTGTGTCCCTTGCGGGTCCTGTGGCTATGGACCTTTGAGCGGTGTGGCATCCAGCTCGTTGGGTCTCTGTCAATGTCTTGTGCTGAAAGATCGGGTGCCCTGAAATGGGCACAGCCCCAGAGCAAAGCTCAAACGGCCAATCCCAACTCACCAATCCTGGACCAACGCTAAACCCTAAACCAACAGCCCAGTCTACATAAATGACTGAAGCGAACCCCTAGACCAACCCTATGCAAGCTGAAACTCACCTTCAACTTGAAGCCAACCTGAACCAATTCAAACTTGAACATAATTACTTGATTTTAGCTCTGAAAGGCAGAACAATCGTATTTGTCTGCAGGGATGACAGCAAAGCTGTGATCCTGAAATCCTATCATGTCTTCGACAGGAAGGTGGTGACCTCTTGCTTTGAGTTGTGTGAAGTTTTTAAGTTTCTTCAACTTGCTGGTTGCAAGAGCCTCTCCGAAAGGTCTTAGACATACCCATTCAAGGGCATGTCTCATCGGCCTTTGGCACCCCGTGACTTGGTCGGAACCCCGCAGTTTGTCTCATTCTTTGCTCCCTGAAGCTGGGCGGATTCAGAGCTCTGAATCCGCGCCCTTTCGCGTGTGGTGGGCATGGGCACAACCTTTTTGATACTGTGGATGGACGAAATTCGCTCGCACCACTTGGAAACCATGGTTGAAACCATGGTTTGTTGGTATTTACAGGGGAATCATCATTCCAGGGTTTCTTGAATTTCGTCCATCCACAGTAAGGGATTGCTGTGCAGGGAACCACCATGTAAGAAAGGGCGTTTTGGCCATAGCAAATGGGATAAAACTGACAGCACGAGATGATGTTGCCCCCCGACCATCAGGCAACCCCATTCCTGCCTGATATCACCCTACACCTTCCCCAGCCCGAAGCAATCTTCGATCCGCCCTACAGCCCACTCCAAACCAACTCTTGCCAAATTCCGAACCAAACCTATCCGCATCAAACCCCGAACCACAGTCACCCTGAACCAATCCTGCGTTGAGATAGTCCCCCTTGGCAGTCACTTGCGCTCAGGAGGGAAAGATCCTGGTCTCACCTGGGACAAGGCGGGTCCCTCCAAAGGCCAACTCGGCCCAGAGTTGCTCGATGTGATCAAAATACTGACGGACGAAATCCGTCCGCATCACAAAATGGGTGTGGGTCGAAGTTAAACCACCAGAATACTCACCTCAGGCATTAGTCCTTGGTTCCATTTACCAGGGTTCCATTTTGAGTAAATAATATGTACCTATTTTTGGCACACAGCCAAATGAAACCATGGTTGAAACCATTGTTTGTAGTACTGGGTTTCGATTGTGAAACAGGTTATGATCTTCCTTGCACCTCCTTCCATGAGACTCGTGGAGCACATCTCTGGCTGCGTGGAGCTGTCCAAGACCAAGTTTTCCGCTGGTGCAGATGATGTGGAAGGCAGTGCCCATGGTGTGGACGGCTTTTGACTGCCTCGGATGAGCATGTAGAGGGTGTGCGGGGTTTAACCCCTCCCAACGCCAAGAAATGCCATCTTTTTGGGCAGGGGGCGATAGCTACACGACAGTTGAGGATATATTGTCGATCAGTGAGGGGAGAGCTAAAGACTGTCGTGCTTTTCACACGCAAGTTTTTGTTGCTCTGGCAGGCGTGCGCTTGAAGGACACCGGACGATACCTGGATGCCGCCAGAATTGCGAGCAACTCGGCGGTGTTCTTCCACTACACCAAGAGTGTGGAATTGGAGTTCACTCTTCGCCCTGCCGACGTGGTTGAGAAGCAGGAGTGGACGGTTTTGTTTGACGGCTGGAAAAGAAGTTGCTACTTAATAACTTGCCAACTGAAACACTGCAAAGATCTCGCGCTGAGGAAAGCAACCGTTTGTTCCGAAACGCTTGTCCAGCATGCTTTGAGCCCAGTTGCTTGGGCCGCGTCTGATTCGCTGGGACCCGCAAAGCCGAGCGTGCAATGTTCCGATAGCGCCAGTCCCAGGAGTTCGACACCAAGAAGCCGATCACTCATTTGCTGCATTTCCCCATGGAAGCTAAGCAAGTCGGCACGGAAATCAACAAGTTGGCAGAACGGCTGGGGGTTCTACCTGCCCTGGACCTCACTCGCTTGTGTCTGGTGGTCTATGAGATGGTCCTACACCGGCAGTGGATCTCGGCTCACATGCGACTCTTTCCGGGAGGGCTGTATGAGTTCACTCAAGATCGTGATGGACTCAATGCAGTTTTCAACATTGACAGGGACGTCCAGCATAAGCTCTTCGCACGTATCTCGGCTCCGCGCCGTAAGCTGGACGTGCACTTCTATTCAGACAAGGCCTTGAGTGCAACGGTTCTGGCCATGCAGCATTTGGTGAGTTTGGAGGAGGCTCATGCAGCACTGGAGAAGACTGGTGTGTGTCAGTTGACGGATGCCATCCTGGAAGGATTTGGGCCGTTCACAAGGCCTGCTGTGAATCATCCAAGGGACGATCCTCCAGAAAGGTCCAGGCTGTTGAGTGCTGAACTGTCGAACCCTGAAACACCGGAGACATGGGAGGCAGCTGCGCCCGCATCGAGGTCGGCGCTGCGAAGGGACTCAGGCGGCGTCGCGTTGGAGCTGGAAGAAGAGTGGCCACATCTTGAAGAAGAGAGCGACACCGGTGAGCTGCAAATCGACGTGCGGATTGAGATTTGAAAAGTGCGAAATGCAAACCGAAGCCAAGGCCATGAGGCCGTTTCAGGCCACCAGCGCCCAAGAAGTTTCCTTGAGTCCTCTTGAGCAACAAAGGCCAAGATACTGCGGATGGTTGCGAAATCCATTTCGCACCACCTCAGAAATCCTGGAATGATTCAATTCCCCCGCAAATACCAACAAACATTAGATCAACCATTGTTTAATTTCGGGGTGCGAACGGATTTCGTCCATCCAAAGTATCCAAGATGCTGGTCCGCAGTGAGGCAAGAGTGAAAGGCATGCTTAAGGGGCCTGAGCATCTTATTTGTTTGGCCAACTCGACATCTGTCGAGACTGGAGACCACGAGCTAGGACGTGTGATGTTCTTGGAGGCAGCTGCTTTGTGGATGCTACACCAATTGGTAGGTGGTTCATCGCAATAGGGTTTCATCAACTGGCGAATGGTGTGGATGTTTTTTTCTTCTTTACAGTATGCCAAACACAAGTGATCAGTGATTACTGCCTATGAATTTATCTGGGGAAACCGCCTCACAAGTTGTTGGTGGACACAAATAAATCCCCAAAATGATGTCCACCAAAGGGCCCCCTATTAAACTTCACCCCCAAAAATGAATAAATACATATATATATATATATATGCTTACGGTGGGGAGAAACTATGACCTTGTTCGCCATGCGGCATGCCACGCGTTCCGAGGTTGGCTTGGAACCTGGCAATGTAGCCACTTCTATGCATTGGATCCGAGACAAGACCCGCATGACGGACCTGGCTAGGTCGAATTCGATCACATTGCCTTACGTCACAGTGTTTCGTGTTTGTAAAGAAATATGGACCCTAAAAATGATGTGGGTGCGTTCTTCAGCTTCCTCTTGAAACCATCCAACAAAAGGTTCCATATGTCTTGACTGCTATTGGGTTGGATCTTTAGACTTTAACTTTTTGGGAAATCAAGGGGGTTTTCCACTAAACCCCAAAAAGTTGCTTTTCGTTTTTTTTGCAGGGGGGTCAACAGCAGCCAAGATGTTGAAACATGGCTTCAGCCAAGGGGAGATTCTGTGACTCCGCCCCGGACAGCTGCAGCCACTGCACCATGGCACTGGCGGGGCACTCCACACACAAGGCACAGCGTGCACAGCGTCCGGGGGCCATGGCCATTGATTTGACCCGAAAGGAGAGCCAAAAATTGGGTTCCTTTTCCGATAGCCTGTTTGGGCGACCCATCGGATAGCCTGCAGTTTGGGTGACCTAAAATGGGTGACCCCAAATTTGGGTTCTGAATTTTGGATGCGGAGTGGTTTCCTGTCAAGCGACCGGGACCCGTTGATTAGCACCTGCTTAGGGCCTGAGCAGCATGCTTCTTTGCAGTTTCCGCGACCCCAGTGCTGGCCAGGTGGAGGCAGAAATGGCAGAGCTTTGTCGAGTCCTGCAGCAGAAGGCTGAATCCGAAGCACTTGCTAAGGAGTTTGGCGGTCAACATGGGAGCAAGAACATGCATTCCCGAACAAGCTGTTGACAACTACATTGTGTTCAGGTTGCGTCACTGAGCGGCGACGATGATGGCGAGGCCGGTTCTGCACACTCATGGCAAACACAATCAATCGCATGAAGTTGGCGTCCCCTTGGAGCAACAAATTATATTAAACTGGCTCGCTTTGAAAAGCTATGCAAGCATGTATTGTCCCCCCGCCGTGTTTGTACTTCAACGGGAGCGGTTAGCACCCTGAAAACTTGAATATGTTCAGTGGCTGGTTTTCGGCTGAGTAGGTTACACCCTCATGTTATTTTGTTTCGACCCCATGTATTTGCAGGTAGGTATCCTTTGAGGCTAACCCAAGCCCAAAAAAGTTTAGTACACACTGCTGGGTTTAGGGGCTAGGTCCTACCAGTTCGTTTTCGAACAAGGGAGTCTTTTTTTTTCCGGTCAAGTGAGTCATGGTATGTTTTGTTTGTGCTTCGTTATAGTGACCCCGCATTCTCTTGGCAACCTAGGCGAACATAGGAATTAGAGATTGGTATTGGTAATGATAAGCTTAGCAATGGCAGTACTGAATTTAGCATTGTGAACCTTTATGCAGTATTGCCAATACTAAGTTTGGTATTGGCAGCGCTGAATTTAGTTTTTGGAATTTAAGTTCAAGTATTGGCATTACTAAACCTTGTATATCTTGGCAATTCGGGATCTAAAAGATCAATTATGATTGGCTATACTGTGAGTTTAGTAGTGGGAATCTAAGACTAAGTAGTGGCAATACTTAATTTAGTATTGGCAGCACTGAACCTGTGGGAATCTAAGGTCGCTGAGACAAGGTACATGTACAACTTGTCACCCTCATCCAAAACCTCAGATTCCCGTATTGCCATTACCACTAATGCGGGACTCCCTTTTGCAATTGGGGACGCTTAAAGGTCACAAAACATGGGCCAGCACAACAGATCGGGCAACCATCCGGGCAAACAAATCCAGGAAAGCAATAATATTTTATTGGGTGGTCCCCAAACCATGAAGTGTAAGATAACATCTTTATACAAAAAATAGAGGCCAAACAGTCACACATGAAGCCCTGATTCTGTTGAATGTGACTGTTTCGTGATTCGCTTTAATGTCAAACTTGTTGGGGGCTTGGGAATCTGAGAGCAAGTCTTGGCTATACTACCAGTGGCAATACTAAATTAAGTACTGAGAATCTCAGAGTAAGGTTGGCAGTACTCTATTTAGAATTTGCATTACTAAAGTCTGAGAGTAAGTCTTGGCAATACTAAATATCGAATTGGCAGTGCTAAAATTAAGTACTGTGAATCTGAGAGTAGGGCTTGAGAAAGGTTAGCCCCTGAAGATTTTAGGCCTGGCCGAAAGGGCTAGCCTTCGGAGTTAGCCCCGTGGCCATTTCAGTTTGCGACCCCTTTCCCGACACCCATTTTATTTTCGCCAAGGGGCTAACCTTTTCTTCTCGCGGGTCCCCTACTCGGTAGCTTTTGTGAGGGTTAGCACCCGCATTCTTTTTTTGGAACAAAGTTTGCCCCCCCCGTTTTATTTCAATAAAATGAGGGTCCTAGCCCTCAAGGGAACAAGACGGGGGGACGGAATTGTAGGCAGTTATGGCTTCGGGTTTGGAGGGCTTGATAGGCCTAAATACATGGATGAGAGGCGCTTATCAGCTGCAATTCAGGCACCAGTCACTTGACCGCTTCCGGCTGTTGGCATCTTTTGGACATCGGTTTCCCAATCCGAAGCACGAGCAGAACAAACCACCGAACAACGAACCACCAAACAACTGGCCCTCCAACTGCCCCATCCGGCCCAAGCCTTGCTGCATTTCCACAACCAAACCGGCCAAGGCCCACACGTGCGCGCGCACACACGCACACACACACACACACACATGCAGGCAGGCAGGCAGCCAGGCAGGCAGCCAGGCAGGCAGACGTCCAGCAAAGTACAGCAAACAGTCAGATTCTATTGCTCTGACATTCCAAATTGGGGGTCAGCGGACATGGCGGACACGAACAAGGGAAAGGGGACAACACATATCAAAGTTTAGGACACCAAGTTTCTTGCGGAATTGGCATATTTCACCCTTGCCATAGGTGAGCACCGAGACCCAGCCACTCTGCCGAGAGTTCTTGCTGACAGAGGAAGCCGCTCGTTTGGATGAGTTAAACATCGTGAGAGGTGTCGGGTCGGATCTTTAGCATTCTACGTTCAAGGGCCGGAAAGCTTTAGTTGAAAGCTGAGTGGAACTTTCAAGGTGTTCATAAGACGAGAATGTGTGTAATTATTTACACCCTTCTATTACTGCAGTCAATCTCACGGTCAGAGATGGCAAACACCGAGGAGGAGGAGGAGGCAGACCCCGAAGTACTCCTTCGACAGCATACGCCTCACCCGGACAGAAAAGTATTGTCATGTTGTGAATTGTTCTTGTTTTTTGTATATCCCCAGTTGCCCAATGCCACCTTTTGCTGCTTTTGTGGGAGGGTTCCTTCAAACTCAATGTCCATTTTTGCCCACCGCTGGGCTTGTGTGTATATCAGACTGGTCACCCATGGAGGACGCCTGGGACTTGGAAACCACACCGGTCCAGTGTGAATCGCACAGCGGTACTGCACTTCGAGTTGAGTCGCTAGACTGCATGCAGACATGTCGCGTCTTTTGAGGGCACCTTTCGGTTCAACGGGAGATTCATTCATATGTGACGCACCGAGGCAGCCGAAGAAGCGAAATTACCTGGTTGACGCTTGGTCTCATTTGCTATCTCAGGATAGGCATGAGAGAGAAAGGCTCCGAAACAGAAATACGTTCTGCAACGCTTCACCATGTCCTACTCTAGAATATCGTGGCGGCTTCGCCATACTATGGCAGAGCATTGGCACATGTAGGCAGAACAAGGCCGCAAGCTCTTTTTGAGACTTGGTACAAGCAAGATCTATTGAAGGATCGGGCCAGGGCAGTGCTGAGCTCTTGGACGTCCCGATCTCAGAGTCTCAGAGTTCGGCGAGATGGTGAGCAGCACGATGCAGGGATAGAAAAGGACAGAGATACTCCCCTGCAAAGCTAAGACAGATCCCAAAAAATAGGTTCTTTAAACGTGGGTTCCTCCAATAATTGTGTGTTCAGTGAGTCCAGAGTCAGGATTTTTGAAGTCAAAACACTGGACATGGCCAGGTCTCGGCGTGCAGGATCCAATCAAGGCTACCCTTGCCGGGGGGTGGGGGTGCCGGGCAGTTTGTGGATCCGCTGGGCTTCAGACACATTGAAGGCGCTTGTGTCCCTTGGCTCCGGATTTCTTCCACCAACTTCCCCAAGAACCAAAGCAAGCTGCTCAACTTGTTGAGCGGCAGCGCCGTGGCGACTGGTTGTTAGCCAAGCTGATGTCACCGGTTGACACGTTGTGGAGAAGAGGTGTAGTTGAAAAGGTATGATGTCCTTACCACGTGCCACACAGAAGGATTGCCGCCTGCTGGTGTTTGAGTTTCCAGCACTTTGCCATGGAACCGTCAGGCGCGAAGGAGAGCAGCAGGCTGGCATGCCGGTCCTTCCAGCGACTAACTATATCTGTGATGAGTGCAGCTTTTGAGTGAGAGATTGAACAACTTCTGAGATTGAGAGTGCCATGTTTGGAGGCACAAAGAAAGCGGCCACCCAGCTGCGCTGATGGGGCAATGAATGGGGCGTTTGCATGAGATGCGCATATGTGTCTTTTCTTTTCTCCGATCATTTCGTTTCGACTTGATGGCGCACGGTAAGTGAATTGGTTATACTCTTGAACGTGGTCCGGGTCTTTCTTCGCCAATATTTGAGGCAATGAGTCCACCTCGGCGTGCGACTCTCCGACGCCTGCAGACGGTGTTGTTCCGATGCTCCTCGGAGCCATTCTGACTTGTCGATGGCACAGTTCGTTTGCCTGTCAGCCCGTTGCATCAGGGTGGAAGCTTCACCCTCGCAAGCATCAAGTTCAACGAATCAGCCTAGCTGCTGCACACGGCTCCGCAGCCCACGGGCTGTCACAAGGCCACCCATAGATTGAGAGAAATGAGAGAAGTGACTTTGGTAGGCCGGCGCATGCAGATGCTCCAAGCTCACCATGCTCTCCAAACTCGCTGGGTGCAGGCTGGGTTCCATTTTCCATTTGGTTGCAGGGTTCCCTGTATTTTTCTTTGGTCTTAAATATCACCTTATGGGGGGCCGTTTCAAGGTTACAAAATGCTCCGCTGACTTGTGGCTTTCATGCCAAGCTACAGCGCTCAGGCAGCCCTAGTGAATAATTTGCGTGAAGGTCACACCCAGTACTGGGCAGCGTTGACAGTGCAAGAGAAGTGACCAAAACATGATCCTGTCGCTGCCGTTGTGGCAAAAGAAGCCCTGAGACCTTGTCGACTGTTCCCTTGGACACTTCTTGCAGATTCCTTCTTTTCTCGCTTTGCTCGGATCAGTTTCGAGCAAACTGGCGAATTCGATTCAGCGATTCCGCTGCGGGTTGCTTCTCAAACAGCCCCATGCATGTGAACCAGTCGGTGAATGTTCAGCCAGGAATTCGTGGGCTAAGTAGCGGAGGTGTTGATCCATCTTTCTCTTCGCTCTTGAATGGAGCAAGAGCGTGAGGATCAGGCATGTTTTGTCCCGACTTCTAACTTATCCATCATCTAAGATGATCGATTCTCGATACACAAAAAACAAATGATTCCATTGCATGTCAGATTCAATTCTTTGCTTCCTCTGGTACTGTGCTGTTACTACTGCTGTTCTTGTTGCTATTATTATTGTTATTGTTGCTATGGTTGCTGCTGATATTGGTGTTATTGTTGTTGCCATTGTTGCGTCGTTATTGTTATTATTATTGTTGTTGCTATTATTATTCTTGTTGGGTTATATGTATTCGGCTTTTTGGCGGGATTTATATATATGATGAATATTGATTTGAAACATGTATATTTATAATTAATTATGTGCTATATGTTTTATTTATTGGTGTGGCTTGTATATTGTAGGGCTGTTATATGGTATACCGAAATGTTGTGTTTGTGACGAGAACGAGAGGTTATGTTTGTTTTGGTTTGATTTTTATATGAAATATGGTTATTTATGTTTTTAAATATGTTTTGGCAATTTTCGTTGTTGATTCATTTAAGCATATTTTGATATTTGATGATATAATTGATTATATTTGGTTTTCGATATTTTGGATTATTTTGATATTTCGAAATGATTTTTATAAAATTCTGAGGAAAAAAAAATATATATATTTGATTTATATATTTATGTTTGTATATTTCTTTTTTTTTTGTTATTTTTATGTTTTTTTATATGTATTATTTATTATATTTTTTTGTTGATTATGTTTGGATTTGTTGTATTTGTTTTTGGATTCTTTTTTTTTTGGGTTGTTTTATTTAGTTTTTTAATTGTTGTGTTTTTTATTTTATTGATTTATTTGTGTTTTATCTTTTAAATAATTTAATTGATTATAATAATTATATATTAATTTATGAACAATTTATAGACTTCCCATATCACCTATGTATTGCCTCGTATCGCTTGTATGTTACCCCGTATTATGCTACCCCCTGGATTTGTTTTTCATTGTTCGTAACAATATGAAAGGATTATAGATAGGGTATTGTTTATTTTTTATTATATATTTGGAAGTATTACCAAATACCCGGCAATTCCGAAAATAGAATTTAGATGGTAGTCGGAGGGTGTTGGAATAAATATTTATAGTAGTCCGTAAGATGTAGCGAGTACGAATTAATGGAAAAGAATGAATTTGAATAAATTTATATGATATATTATATTTTCCAATTTCTATATTATATATATATTTATTTATTTTTTCTTTTTAAATAATTCGGGTTAGGTCTCTATAGTTGTTTTGTGTTAAATTAATAGTAATAATAATAATTAAATGTTGTTGTTATGCAAGTATGAATAAACAAAAAGAATATACAAAGATAAAAAATAAATAAATTAATATATATATATAAAAAACAGGTTATGAATTTTGTAAATCATTTCTAAAATGTTATACCTTTTATAAAAATTGGGAATCTTAAGCATATGATTAATATTTAAATACAAGAAATATTGTGCCTAAAACGAAATTTATATATGAAATAGGGTTCCCAATTTCATATTCTATAATATCCAATCCTTCTAAATGATTACCAAATGCAGTGCCAAACAACACGAATATATATCTAAATACAAAAAATATTATATCTATTACGAATTTTATAAAATTTTTCCAAAATATTATACCCAACACATAGACACATAGAATAAGATTCCTGATTCCATATTCAATCTAATTCCCAAATATTGCCCAATTCCTTTAATAACCATCAAATATTATTCATGCCACACAAACAATATCAATATTATTATAATAATATTTTAAATAATATAGCATTATGATTTATAATAAAAAGGGTGGATGTTGTTTTTGTTGTAAGGTAATTTTATAGATTGGATAATATTATTTGTGATTGTTATTATTATAATTGAATTTGGCCGAAATTTAGATTTATATATGAAATTATAAGATATTATTTTGGCATGAGATTGGGGTATTATTATAATAAATCGAAATATAAAAATGAATTAATATATGGAATTATTGCAAAATATCGAGATTTAATATTGTTGTAAAGTGAAAGAAATCGAGATTTGGAATTATATAGTTGTTATAGAATTGTTGTTTTTAGAGATATGGGAAATATGGTAGAGATAGTATTTTATATAATGGGAAAAATATATCAATTTTAATAATTATCGAAATTATTTATATAGATGGGATATGTATTTTTTATATTTTTATGAATGTTTATTGGAAATTCATTTTCTATATTTTGGTCTATGGATTATTATTGTACATAATAGATTTTCTCTAATATATATATTTTTGAAAGATTTAATTTATGTATGTTTTGAGTTGAGAATATATTTTTGTGTTGTAAATTAAATATATTAATTATAATAAAATTAATATTAATAAATAAAATTCAAATATTAATATTAATTATTCAAATATAATATATAAAAATCAACTATTATTTTAATATAATGTATATAATCTTATTTAAATATTCAACATTATAATATATTATTAATTCCAAATAATTGTTGTTTTTTTTCCAAAAAATATTAAATATATATATAATTATATATATATATTGAACGCCCGTTAATTCCATCAATAATAATTTCAACAAAAAAATCAAAAGAAAACAACATCAATAAAAATCAATAAGACAAATGTAAAAAAAAAAAAAAAAAAAAAAAAAAAAAAAAAAGACAAAAAACAAGAAACAGAGAAAGATAAAAAGAGAGAAAGAAAAAAAAAAGAAAAAAGAAAAATAAGAGGGAAAAGAGAGCAAAAGAAAAAAATAATAAAAAAAAGATATAGAACAAAAGAGAGATAAAAAAAAAGAGAATTAAAACAAGAAGAGAAAAACAAATCCATAACACGAAGAATTATTGCTAGCGGAAATATTAGAGGTAGAGGCAATAGCTCCGTAATGGTGTCTCCGACCCCGGGAAAGATCAGCCAATACCCCAACAAGACCAAAGCAAGCTATCCCTTATCCTATGGGCGATAAAGCGGCACCAGGGAAGGGAAAAAAAAAAAAAAAAAAAGAAAGAAAAAGAAGAAAGAAAGAAAAAGAAGAAACAAACAAAAAAAAAAGAAAAAAAGAAAGAAGGAGGCAAACAAGCAAACAAACAAAAACAAGAAAAGAAAAAATCAATAACGAATAAAAAGACAAAATAAAAAGAAACAAGCGGAGATTAAAAAGAACCGATATAGCATATAACCACAAATATGCAATCTTTATACACAGACCCGCAAAAACAAACATAAACAAACAAAAAGAAAAGACAAAAACCGATATAAAAACACAAAGAAATATAAGCGAACAAACACAAATACATAGAAACAAACAAGAACAAACCAAAACAACCCGAAAAACAAAGAAAGACAAACAAACAAATAGAAACAAAGAAACACAAACACCAAAATGAAAACAAATCTAGATACACAAAGATCTAAAAAAAATAAACAGAGAAAAACAGAAATTACAAAATAAATAAATATAAACATATAAAAACAAACTACAAAACACAGAGAAAGCCAAAAACACAAAGACACCCAACACGAAATTTTCGAGAAATTTTGACTCAAACAAATCCAAATTTCCCCAAATTTGAGCCCGATAATTTTTTCGAAAAGCCGCCAAATTCTAAAGAAATTTGCGCACATAACGTCCAAAATTATCAAAACCCCCACAGAATTTCGAAACCTTCCGGACCGCGCAAAATTATAATTCGGGCAACATACCATTATAACGATTTACCGGTGCACGAGAAATACGACCTCGAAACCGTATCGGTTTATATAAATATATATATATTTATCGAATTATTTCATATTTTCCAATTATATTAATATATCAATATATACATAGAATATATCATAATGTTTTTTTTTTTTTTTTTTTTTTAAATGTTTTTCATAATTATAAATCAAATAAATTATCAAATAATTCGATACTTAATTAAATAATATATTTAAAAACGATGATTGTATAAGAAGAGCCCATTAGATTCGGCTTCATTAGCGCAGAAACTTGCGAATTCCCTCAAGCAAATCATGTTCTTATTCAATTGGCTTATATTAATAACATAAATCACGCGAGGAACATTCTTCGGACCACTAAGCCAAAATACACACATGCCAGTGACACAGTTAAAGCAATTTCATCAAATCTTCACAACTCGATGTGCGCGAATAGAAACCAGCCTTCATATTCTTGTTTTCATTCCGCTCACTGAACATCTACCACGGAATGTCCTGGAGCCGCGAACTCGGTGCATAGCAGTAGACCCGACAAGCCCATCCCGCTCCTCCTTTGACCAGATGTTGACGAATCGGCCAGTGTCCGCAGGCCCAAAGCTCTGCAGCCTCGAGATAGCTCTTCAACCCACTGGCCTGCTTGCTGAGCTTGCAGCTCCGAAAAATCGGCACTAAAGGCCACCAAGCTGCAACTCGAGCATGCGCTCTGCGGTCTCCTATCCAGCAAGCTGCAACAGCACCATAAACATGAACAGCAACAGCAACAGAGTTGGGTCCTGATTTTAGCGGAAATCACAAAATCCATTCAAGCCCCTTGTTTTTGAGTGTCTAAGCACGCACACATGCATGTATGTGTGTGTGTGTGTGTGCGGGTACCAGGGCTGATTGGCACACTCTGCCACCTGAGAGTTCTGAGGTCTGAACTTCATGCAATCACCAAACAGGCATCCTTACATTACACACCTGAACATTGTCTTGTACATGGTGGTTTCCCTTTATTTTGGTGGAAAAGCCATGTTTCAAATGGGCAAAATGTATTTTAAGGAGCCCTGTCCAATGTCTTTCTTTAGCTCGACCAAAGAATCCCTCTCTGAAACTATGCTCCTCAGGAGTTCTCAACTCAGGGTACGGGTTGCCCTTGACGTAGGGCTTGGCCAGTGCAGTGTCCACCATCTGAGGGTAGAGCCTTATGTCACCACTTCATCGGGCTATCCGTCTGAATGGGAGCAACAATGATTCAAACACCACACCCACGTGCAAACCAATCCAATTCTATACACATAAGCACATGGGTGAATATCAGTAAATACTTTCACAATGAAGAAACTCACAAAGCATTGAAGAGCCATCAATTCTGCAAGCAGACAAGTCCCAGATCCTATGAACTTTGCGTGCAAGCATTGGCTCCCGGCGTAAACGCCATGACTTTGTGGCGAGCTCCCTCGATGGACAAATTCTTCATGAACGCCTGGGCAGGTACACCTCAACATCATCATTATCAGGAGCTGGGTGTGTCTTTTTGTTGGGGAACCCCCAAAATGGTTTCGGTATTCCTTTTGGCGTCCCTTTAACACCCTCCAAAGCAGGGTTCCCCGAAAAAAGATGAACCGCGCTTGTGGGGAACCCTCTGTTTTTTTTTCAAATTCAACTGAACTTCGAGGGTGTCTTGCTCAGCTGGCCGGCCCTAGGCCAATCAGACCAAGGCCCTGGCGTTCATCGCTGTCTTTGAGGCACGGTAGGAGTACCAACCACCTGCCTGGCGTGCGACCACTTAGATGAGATTTGTGGGGAGTCTAGGCCATTCAACTTGGAGCTCTTCCAAGATCTCTTCAGAGCATTTGGTGAAAGCTCAAAGATTGCCAGTGCTGAACCATCGACATCGGCCTGGTTGCCCTGCAGTGAGGCAACGCCGGCTCCGACAGCTACAACCTGGCATTCAAAGCTGCCAAAATCTCGGGTAAGGATTGGCCATGGGTCAAAATCCAAATCATCCCAATCCCCACAGAAATAGGTTCTAAAATGGGTGGTGAATTCACCTCTCCCAAAATGGTACCATTGGATTTGAACCATGGCCATATGGGGCTGTCCTTGCCAACTTGGAGTTCTGGCAAAAAATCATTGGGCGACGGCCGTCGCCTTGCTGGGCTCAGTTGCAGCGGCTGCCCTGAGCCGCGGGTAAAGTGCCTGTCGGCAATTGGCCAGCTTCTCTCTCATTGGTTTGGTTTGGTGGCTGGATGTAAAGGAAGCTTCCCCGTTTGGCTTCGGGAAGTTGGGTTCTCCCCAACCAATCAAAACCACCAGTTCATGGGGTACCTGAAATGCTGAATCTGCTTCAACACCCTCAGCTTGAATTGTTTTTCAGCCACGCCGGCACAAAGGTAACAGCATCACAATTCGACTGGCAAACATGTAGCACCAAACAAAACAAGCAAGACATAACCAAACAAAACAAGAAACAACAAACAAACACAACCAAACAAAGAAACAAACTCAACCAACCAACCAACCAACCAAGCAAGCAAGCAAATAAACACACACACACACAAACTAAACAAACAAACGACATGGCACACACACAAGCACAGAAACCACCACCCAAACACACAAACACGCAAACAAACAAACAAACAACCAACCAACCAAACAAACAAACAACCAATCAACCAACCAAGCAAACAAACGAATGAACAAACAAACAAACAGCCAAACAAACAATGGGAACAACAAAAACAAGGACTCTAAAGTCACAACAAACACAAACCGAAGTATGTGAAGTGGCGCAGCACCCTTTTCTCTGGTGCAAGTCTGGAGCCACCAAAAAGTGGCAACTGTATCATGACATAGGCATGGGGGAAAAGTGTAAATTTGAAACGCCCCCTTGTACTGTTGGACCCTCTTTACACCCCCCCCCCCGCTAGGAGTGGAACCAGTCAAGCTGGACCCTCTTTAAACAAAATCCAGAACATCTGGGAGGGACAGTACTTCCTTTAGTGTTGGCAATTCTACTTTAGTATTGCCAAGGCTGACTCTCAGATTCCCAGCACTTACTTTAGCATTGGCAATTCGAAATTAGTATTGCCAAGGCTTACTCTCAGGTTCCCACTACTTACTGTAATATTGCAAATTCTACTTTAGTATTGTCAAGGCTGACAACTTCTTCGCGATCGAACCAGACCAGCCGAGCCCGTGCCAGAGGCAAGTTTAGCAACGCAACCCGACACGAAGAGCTCTTCTCCTTGTTGTTCGCGTGTGCGCCGGGCATGTCGCTTCTTGGTCGCTCTTTCAACGGCAACGTCCCCTCTTGAAATTAACCAACGCAAAACATGGAACTTGCGGGGAGGGTCAGGACTACACTTTTCGGGAAAAACAATGTCTTCCCATACCACTCAACCACAGAGGCGGGGTGGACAAGCTCCAATCCAGCAAGCCTAAATCAAACGGAAGTCCAAGAAAGCAATACCGAATGAAAAGGAAACTCTAACACTGCATGAACTGGAAGGAAAGCCAAATAGAAACTCTAATCCAGAAATATTACAACAGAACTAAATCAAACGGAAAGAAAATACAGTCCAGGCCAGCAACGCGAATCAAATTGGGAATCGTTCCAGGGGTGCAAAACCAGATGAAAACTCTAATCCTTCAAATCGCTCCAGCAATGCTAGTTCAAATGGAACCCAAAACTGGCCCCAGTAATACGACCCAAATCTAAACCAATTGATAGGCCACTGGCAGGCACAATGTTAACTCTGGTTTCATCCGGACAGCCATGTTCATCAAAGGAATCCTGTTAACAGCAAGTATGACCCCACTTCTGTGGGAGCAACCCCTGCTTCGCCTGGTTCTTCGCGTGAATTCCAAGAGAACATTGCTTCGAAGCCGACAATACGCTGTAATCTATCTTTTCCAGTGGTCTTGCAAAGTTGCCAGCCGCGGATGGGAGAATGGTCACACAGCGCAAACAGTGCCCCGCTGACATAGCTTAAAAAAGTCTTCTTGGGGCGGTCATTCAAGCAAGCCCCGTGGTGTCCTGCAAGGTCACACATTGCGCGAGACACCGACCAGAGCTGCTGCCCGTGACTTGTCTAGACGCTGTGCTTCGGAGCGCAATCTGCAACAGGCACAGGCCCGGTAAGTTCCCAACATGTTGTGGACTTGCCAAGAAATATTCACAAGACAATCCTGACAGTAGCCAGGAACCCAGATGCACGTCCCTGGCCAAAAGAGGAATAATGGTAGAACTTGATTCATCCCCCCCCCTCAACAATGGAGGCGCAGGAAAAAGTACAAACAATGGAGGATTTGTGGGCCCGATTTTTGTATTGTGTGAGGGGTACCCTTGTCCTTGTTTTTTTGATTTTTTAAACACGGTTTAATAAAGAATTTGCAGTTTCAGGGCTGGAGATGGTTTTCATATTTCAGAGGTTTCAGCTGGCTTTGGGTTTTTTGGGCAACCAATTAAAAGGGGAATGCTTTTAAGCAAGTGGGCGACCAATTGAAAGGGGAGTGCTTTTAAGCACCAATTAAAAGGGGAATGCTTTTGAGTAAAGCAACTGGCAGTTTATTTTCTGGAGGGGGCTGGGGGCTTGCAACTAATGTGGTCCCCCTAAAGAATGCCATTGTTGTGGTTCAGTGGAGTCTGTGAGGGGTACCCTTGTCTTGATTGTTATATTTTTTATTTTTAAAACACGGTGTAATAAATAATTTGCAGTTTCAGGGCTGGGGGTGGTTTTCAAATTTCAGAGGTTTCAGCTGGCTTTGGGCTTTGTGTTTGAGCAATTAAAAGGGGAATGCTTTTAAGCAAGTGGGCGACCAATTGAAAGGGAAGTGCTCTTAAGTAAGTGGGCCTCCAATTACAAGGGGAATGCTTCTGAATAAAATGCTTTCTGGAGGGGGCTGGGGGCTTGCAACTAATGTGGCCCCCCTAAAGAATGTCATTGTTGTGCTTCAGTGGGGTCTGTGAGGGGTACCCTTGTCCGGAATTGTTTTTTAATTTTCTAAATACGGTTTACTAAAGAATTTGCAGTTTTAGGGCGGGGGGTGGTTTTCAAATTCCAGAGGTTTCAGCTGGCTTTGGGTTTTGTGTTTGAGCAGCGATTAAAAGGGGAATCCGTTTAAGCAAGTGGGCCAAGGGGAATGCTTTTAAGTAAGTGGGCCACCAATGAAAAGAGGAATGCTTTTGAGTAAAGTAACTGACATTTTCTGGAGAGGGCTGGGGGCTTGCAACTAGTGCGGTCCCCCTAAAGAGTGCCGTTGTGGTTCAGTGGGGTCTGTGAAGAGTATCCTTGTTTGGGCATGTTTGTGAATTTGTTGGCATTTGGTATGGGGTCAACATAGATTTTGGGTGGTTGTTTGGGGGGATGGTTTTTAAATTAAAACTGATTTGCGGATTTTTGTTTGGAATCCCCCCCCCCGAACAAAACACAACTTTCAGTTATTCTGGCCCTCCTCAACAATGGGGGCGAACCAGAATAAGGAAAATACTTTTTTTATTCACCGTCACGTGAATACTCGG